AGAGAGGTGCCCAACAAAGACATTGATGTTCTCATGCAAGAAGAGCCTACATGCAGGAGACACTGAGCCTCTGAAGTCTCTTATTTCTCATGACACTGGTGAAGACTGAGTAGGGTGGACCCTGCTCACTCTGATCTGCACACAGGCCCAGGAGAGGGGAGTGGGTGGCTCACACAGAGGCCAGCAGAGGCTCAAGTGATGCCTGGCCTGGCCTGGCACACTGGGGAGGGGTAGGTACTGGCCATGGCTGTTCTGTGAAGGATATTGGCAGCTGGCACAAGGGTGCCACTTTCCTCCTTGTAGCTCTGGTTTTCTGCCTTATGAGGTAGGGTGGTCCTCGCAGACACATCCAACAGCCATGAAGAGCTGAGGTCTGAGGAGAGAGAATGGCCTAAGATGCCTGTGTGAGAGTCATGGCCAAGGCATGGCTTGGGCAGTGGGTAGACTGTGCTTGTGTCACCATGGTGAGTGGTAGGCCACTAGTTTCTGTGACCTTAGCACAGACCCCCCGCCCACCCAGTGTCCCTGTCAGAAATTGAGCCAGGTGCTTGCTGACCCTGAGGAGCAGTGGAGGCTCTTCCACCAAACATGCCCTGGAGCTGCCAAGCTACATAGCCAGCAGCCTTGGGATTCACCACACCGAGGCAGCCCTCACACTGTGATGCCTGAAGAACATCTCAGAAGTGAGTGCAGAGGGGTGTCAAGAAGCCAGCCATCCCGGTCATCAAAGAACCATGGGCGAGGTGAGGCAGTTCTGAAATGTGAGGTCAAGTGTGGCAGGTGGGTCGGGGGAGGATCCTGGGGCCCAGGGTCACGTAGTTCTTTAGGGTAGCAGGAAGGGCAGCAGCTTGCCGTGAGCTGGGCAGGCACAGGGAAGATGGATACATCAAGGGCATGGCTGGGGATGTCGTGGGGCAGGGAACTGTGAGGCCAGAGCCTGACCTGGGGTTTCCAAGGAGCCGGTGAGGAGCTGTGACGCATTCAGGAGCAGGGACATCTCAGACATAGGAGCTTTCCACTCAGAAGAAACCCAGCAATTTCAACCCACTCCATTTCTTGAAGAGATACACTTACTGTATTTTAAATGTGTACAACTGGGTAGCTTGTCTGGTCCCTTTCCTGAGCAGTGTTTCAGGTGGGCAGTGAGGCTGGAGGGGGAGTGGGCTAGGCCAGGGTGAGGGGCCCAGAGAGGGCAGTCAGCTCAGAAGCCTCACTCTAGAGGGCAGGGAATCTTGGGGGTGGGGTTTGTTCTGCCAGACCACCCACCTGCCTGAATAAGCGCTATGATTAGGCAGCCCTGCGGGATGGCGGGGGCACGGGCTCCAGGATCCCAGAGATGAATTCTGCTTAATTACGTGCACGCTGAAGTACTTAGAGAAAAGTATACAGATGTCTGCAATTTACTTTAAAATGCATCAAAAGAATAAAACGGACTGATGGCTGGCAGAGGGCCGGGGAGAGATGTCACACAGCAGCGAGTGACGCGCTTCTCGAGGACGTAGGTGGTGTGAGCAGGCATTCACTGTGACATTCCTGCCACTTTTCTGTGTGCTTGAAGGCATTTGTAAGAAGCCGGAAACTCTAGCTGGACTAGGTTTGAATGCTGACTCCCTTTTACTGCTGGTGACACAGGACCCTAGAGAGCACCCTCAGGGTACCAGGTGGGGACATGCCCGTTCTGCCGGAGGTGTGTCCAGCACAGTTGGGCCATCTCATGGATGAGCTTCCCCCTCTGTGCCCACTCCTTGCAGCTCCAGATCCAGTCCATTAGAGCCATGAAGATGGGGGCCATGAGCCCTGTCACCATGGTGATGCAGTGAGGACTGAAGTGTTGCTGTGAATACCAGTAATCCCCAGGATATGAGGGCCCCTGGGGGGCCACTGCCTGTACACCCCAAAGATGGGCTGCAGGGCAGACCCTCATCCTGGAGGAGCACTACTATGAGTAGGGTCTTTGGCAGCATGGATGTTAAGGTGACAGGGGACACTGGGGCCCAGCTACATTCCTCAACCATGCTCTTGGTTCTGAGTTCCAGGCCAGTGCTTGGGATGGGGCCAGTGGTCCTCAGAGACTCAGGATAGGAGGACTAGCTAGCACCTAGTTAGGCAGTTAGGGGACGAGCACTGTGGCTGCACCAAGAGTGCTGGGACTGGAGTGTGGAGCCACAGGCCTACATTCTACGGGGTCTGCCCATTGCAGCTGTACCTGAGAACTCCGCCACACATTCACACCTTATTTGCCTCTAAAAAGGAAGGGCTCAAGTCACCCTTCCGGCACCAGCTAATTGGGGGGGCCTCAGTTTTCCCAGCACTAATTGGGGCCCCTGAAGCTATGAGGGCAGCAGCTTGAGGGTCCTAGGCTTGCTGTCCACCTGGTGAGAGGTCCTGTCATGCAGGAAACCCCCAAACCCTCTTCACACCCCAGCTACATTTGGAATGCACAAGGTTCCCACTGGCTGGTGTGTGAATACCAGTGACCCTCAGGTCGACCCAGAAAGGATGGTGTCACTGTGCCCAGTGGGATGATTGCTCTCCCTACAGCACAGGTGTGCACCCACACCCAGCTCCTCTTGGAGCTCCAAGAGGTAACTGGAGTTCCGCTTCCTCACCAACCAGCTGTGAACTAATTACAAAAAATTCTAACTAGTCGAGCTCCCTCTCTGAGCATATGTTCCCAATTAAGCCAAACTGCAGCTGATTTTAATCAATCTTCCTTGAAGCGCCGACTCGAAGATACTCTCCTCCTCCAGAGGGAAGTGGGGAGCAGAACAGGAGACAGTGCGGCAGGAGAGGCACTCCAGTGAGGACATGCTGACCAAGGCTCCCAGACCCCAGCTGCCATGTGGGCCCTCTGCCCTGCAGATCTGAGGTCTGCGCGGAGAAGGCCTGGGCTCAGCACTTAGGATGATGTCACATGTTCTGAGCCTGCTTCCTGAGGACCTCAGGTATCCAGGATTAGGACAGAAATGTCATGGAGACAAAGTCTTTGTCCTCAATGATGGAAAAAGCAGATAGTGTCAGTGGATAGACAGGAGTATTTACTGAACATCTACTATGTGCCAGGGGTGGCGGTAAAGACCTAACATATGATCCCCCTAAAGTCTCTCATGTGGGCATTACTGCCTCAATCGTATAAAGGAACTGTTGAAGGCTCAGGTGGAAAATCCATTCTCCCAGAGCCAGATACCACCTTCCCCCAGTTCCGCCAGAATTAGTCTCTGGGTGTCACCTTTGTCACCATCTTGTTCAGTGGGGCTCATCTCTGCTCAATCAACAGTACCCTGCACTGTGGCACAGAGGAAGGCATCTTCATAGTCCAAAGGAAGATGAGGGGCCATCTCTGGCACTGGGGTTAAATAGGAGTTGTTCATTACCAACGCCACTCACAGGTTCAGGCTCAGCCCTGGTGTAAAACTCTCACCGGCCCAAGCATGACGACAGAAGTGCCCAGCTGGGGAGGTCCAGAACTGCGTGTCCTACGGGGGTCCTGGAACCGAGACTGGTTACCTGGGGATGACACTCAGGCTGCCCAGGCCATATTTGATGCCAGGCTACCCTCCCTGAGAGGTGGTCTCACAGGGGTGTGAGAGGCGGAGGGCAGGCTAGGGGCACAGAAGAAGACAGTGCTCAGCCTCTGAGTGAGATATCCTCATCAAGAAAATGGGGCTGCTGCACCTTGCCCAGCTCAGGGGGGCATGGTGCACAGTGGAGATGCCCAGCTATGGGCTGGGGGTTTAAGCCATCACCAGCCTTCCTGAATGTACTCATCAAAGGTAGCCTGGCCCTGTGATCCTCTGGAGTCTGGCTGAGTCTGCAAATGACAAGGAGAAGACAGCTTGGCACTCTGGGCAGTGAGTGGAGCTGGGCCTCCTGCCACAGCCTCCAGGGAGGGAGGAGAGCAAGGCTGCAGAGCCACAGGCAACCTGGTCCGGAAATAGGGAGAGGGAGCCCACACAATGGCATGCCAATGCCCAGGGCTAGCCAAGCTACTCATGGGGCCTATGTGGTCATCTCGTCCAGCGAGCTCTGGGAGACCCACTTCCAGGAGCATTACTGCAGCTGGCGGGCTGTCTAGAAGCTTCCATCACTGCAAGGCCAAAGCCATAGCTACTCCCTGCCACGTGCCTGCAGCTGAGCTCATTCCTCCATGCCCCCTGAGCACAGTGATCCCCTTGCTGGTCAGGCCTTCAGTGTTCCCTTACAGGATGGACACTGCTCTCCAGGACCTCTACCTACTGCTGTACCGGGGCAAAGCTCTTGTGCGTGCTCAGCTCTCTGTGTGGCCACTGTCCCTCTCTGCTTGTGTAGTCTCACTGCACTGGAGTAGTGCAGGTGCACAGAGAAGGTGCAAAGAACAGGTGCTAACATCCATGTGCAGAGCAGGGTGTGGACAAAGACACAGGGCTGCAGCACAGTGTCCTCCAGGCCAGGAACCAGGCCCTAGGCTTTGAACAGCACCAGACACTCACCTGGGCAAGGGCCCATACCACCAAGGGTGTTCCTGGAAGTCTGTGGGAGAGCGATGGCAGACGTCCTGCTAACCCACAGGCAAGAGAACACCTGGCATGTCCCAGCACCTTTCCATGGTGGGGATGACCAGAGTATCCCATCTGCGCAGGATGGAGTGTGAACATCCACTGGGTGTGTACATTTGTCAGGTGGGTCCTCAGCATCCCTTGTCTCATTTGTTCCTCAAAAGCCTCTCAGAGGCCACCAGAGGATGCCTTGTGGAATGGCCAAGAACCACAAGAAGGGACAAGGGGTCCTGGTGGGGATATGCCATACCCCCGTCTGCTGTGAGCTCCAGTTCTGCTCAACTACCCTTGCAGAAAGGTGTTCAATACCTGCCCTGGCATGAGGAGGACTCCAGACATGGTCAGATAAGCGTGGTGTGCAGGAGCAAGTCCCTGGCTTAGCTGGTAAGCAGGATATTCTCGGGTAGGAACTGGGGATTAGACCCAGGGAAAGGTGCACCTCCCCACAGCAGCCCCAGTGCCCACCTGCAGAGTACGCCGCTCCAGCTGCATCTCCAGCATGTTCTTTTCTTGCTCCAGGCGGCTCCGCTCCCCCTCCAGCTCCTCGACCTTCAACCTGCAAGGCAAGTGAGACATGACAAGGTAGTCAGTGCAGCCTGTGGGCCAATGAAGAGCTGAAAGTGAGGCTTGAGAAGTCCACAGCTGGTGTCAAAATACGCGCACAGGGTGGACAGGATGTGCCAACCAGCAAAATCGAAAGTGGCTCTGGTGGGGAGGGTATGCCACCAGCTGGAGTCTCTGCCAATCACAGCTTGGCTGGAGGCACACGGGAAAAGTGACAAGAGGAAGGGTCTACAGGGATCCAGTGTGCCCCATATCCAGTGGTCCACCCTTGGAGCATGTGACTACACACAGGAGAGGATACTGGGAGGAAAATCATTCCATGGAGTTGTTAAAGAGATGAAAAGATGGGGAAGGATTTCCCAAGGTGGGCATGGTAGAGCTGACAACTGGGGGCCCAAGAGGAGGACCTGAGATGAGCAACAAACATGGGCATCGAGTGACCTGTGGTCTGGGGGAGCAAAACAGACTCGTGACAAAGATGAGAGTGTGGTAGGCTCTGACTTGACATAAAAAACTATCCTCGCCTTTGTTTGTTTGTTTTTTTTTCCCCATTTTGTACCAGGGATCAAATTCAGGACCTTGCACTTGCGACGCAGGCAGTGGGACCACTAAGCTAAATCACCGGCCCTGTTAAGTTTATTTTTTAAAATACAAAACATCCACATGGTTTGAAAAATCAAAAGTCTGTCAAGGTCTATGGTGGTGGACACAGGTCAGCATGGGCAGAAATCTTATGATTTGAGAAGGTCTTGACTCACTGAGCAGACAAACTTGTGCCATGACAGCCTGGCAAATCACAAACCATGACTCAAAAGCATCAACTTTCCAATACAATGAACCACATCTCTGAGAAAAGATCAATAATTATGAAAGTACAAAATTGTCTAAAACCCAACAAGCTGAAATTCACAATGCCTGCTTTTCCAGCAAAGCTTACCAGGTATGAAAGAAGCAGGAAAAGTCAGCCCACAATGAGGGTGATAATCAGCTGAAACCTACCACAAGCCATACTGGCATTAAAATTGGTAAGCAGGGCCAATAAAAGGGTTATTGAGGCTGCTGGCACAATGGACTGTAAAGTACAGAGAAAGAAAGCAGAAAGACTCAGACACACTTGTAGAGACAGAAGCAACAATGCCTGAGGTGAAAAGACACGGACTAATGGTGGATTAGACTCTGCAAAACAAAGGTTTCCTGTACAGGAACACACTTGAGTGGAAACCATCCAAAATAAAATGCAGACAAGAAAGGGAATCTTTACAAATGAAAGGAGAAGCAGTGAGCTGGACAGCTTCATGAAGCACAAAGGCTGGTGTCCCTGAAGACACAGGGCATGAAAACTACGCAGAAGTCAAACTTGGAGACAGGAGCCAGGAGCCCCACTGAGTCCATCACAAGAAACATGAGGGCAACGGCCCAGAGCAGGGGAAAGGAAAACTGCTCAAAGCCAATGACTGAGAACTACTGGGCACAGACAGATGCAGCTTTAAGAAGACACAAGTTCTCACCCCACAGCACCACTGGAAAGACCAGGAGACAGCTTTGAAATATATAAGACTAAGAAGCATCAACCTAAATTGGAAATGCCTCTGAAAAACAAAAGCAAAATTAGGAGGTTTTCAGGCCTACAAAAACAGAATTCACTGTCAGCAAACTGGCTCTCCAACCTGTGTTACAGGAAGCCCATTGGGGAGGAGGAAGATAGCAGAAGCAAACACAGTCCGGGTACAGGAGCAGGGAAAACAGGCCACATGGGGAATACGTGTTTTGCATATTCTTTAAATTTTTCTAAGATATTTAAGTTACTAACTGTATTTTTAAAGTGACCAACTTTTAGATGAAACTAATAAACACACACTGAGAAACTTTAAGAAACCGTATAAATAAAATGTATGATGACAACAGCATTAAGTTCAAGGAGAAGCAAGTGCCAGCTGTTGGGTAGTTGTGCTCTAGAGGAATACCATCAGCTGATGGTACTGTGTCAGGGACATACACTAAAACCCACAGGTAACAAAGCAAGGGTAACAGCTAAAACAGCAAAAACAAAAATTTCAATTATTTTGTAAAACTTACTGAACAAACATCAGCAAAGAGGAGACAGAATTTTGGGAAAAGAAAATAGTAAGATGGCAAGATGGAAGCTAATCAGTGGTTATCACATTAAATGTAAATAGTTCTAACCAAGCAACCACCCCAATTAAAAGATAGAGGTCATCAAATTGGATTTAAAAAGGGGGGAGTAACTAGTAATGTCCAAAGGCCCTGGGTTCAATCTCTAGTACGAAAAACAAACATGACAAAATACAAGAGAGAAAGTGGAGGGCAGTAAAGCCCAAAGAACAGGCCATCTCCAGGAAGGTCACTTCCTAACAATGAGGAGGTGCATTCACTGAATAACCTGTGAAGAGCTGCAAAGAAACACAGCAAAACTGATAGGACAACAGGGAGAAACCCTGTCTACAGTCACAGTCACCTTATCCTCACCCTTTCCATAAGTGATGAAACCACCAGCCAAAATCAGGGACAGGCAGACTTCTCAACACCGTCAACCAGCCTGACCTTTACTCACTCCGTAGTAAGAGCAGGCTACACTTTTTTCTGTGTTCTTGGAATATTTTCCAAGGCAGATGTATGCTAAGCAGTAAAAGAAGGTTCAACAGTCCAAACAAAATTGAGTAATTCTAAGTATGTTCTGACTATATTGGAAATAAATGAGAAATCAGTACCACAAAGATAGCTGGAAAATATCCCTTACAAAAGCATCCAAAAACCATAAAACTAAGATAACAAGATGAGGACACAGAAGGTCTGTATGCTGACAACTGTAGAGTGCTGCCAGATGCAGAGATGGCACTGAATGTGGAGTCACCTGTGCACAGGTGGGAGGGAGGCTCGGCATTGCCAGCAATGCACTTCTCCCAACTGAATCTGCAGAATCACAGCAACCATGATTGTCCACTGTAATCCATCCTTGCTGTAAAAGGATAGACCCACATAAGTGACACTGGTACGAGCATTTGAAAAGGGTGTACTTGAGCTGGCCATGGTGGCACATGCCTGCGGTCCCAGCATTCTGGGAGGCTAAGGTGGGACAACTGCAAATTTGACTGCAGCCTGGGCATGTTAATGAGACCGTCTCAAAAAAGAAAGGTCTGGGGATGTGGCTCAATGTGAAGGCTCTAGGTTCATCTCTAGTCCTGAGAAAACAAAACAAGAGTATTTTCTTTTGCTGTCTTCTTACCAAAAAAAGAGGAGCACGAGAGTGAATGAACAAGTACAGTCACATGTGATACTATGTTTGGTCAACAGTTGCACAGACAACATTGTTCCCATCAGACTATGTCACCCAGTGACAGAGGAGTGACTCAGTTTGCAGAAGCACAGCCTATGCTGTCCACACAGTGACCTTCAGCCCGATGTCACACTTCTCAAACCTACCCTGTCACCAAGCAATGCATGGCTGTATGTGTGTATGTGTTCACAAACTCTTAAGTTCAGTTTTCCCTCAAATGGCTCAAAGTATTCAGTTCTGGCCTAAATCTCTGGAAACATATTTCCTCTTTTTAGAATACTGTGGATGCTGTTAAACTGGGGGATTTTCCATACTGTTTCCTGAGAAGAGAGCCAATCAAAGCAGGTAAGTGTGAGTGAATGTGTATATAGAAACCAGCTGAAAACATGGAGTGGTTATCTTGCTTAAAATACTTAGAATACTTACAATACTTTGAGCCTCCATCACAGGCATATGCCACCATACCTGGCCTAAAAACATTTCATGGTTGCTGACAAAAATGATACCATCATCTGCTGAGATTTTCTGTGGGCAGAGGCAGAGCACCGATGAGAAGTGGTGAGACACCCACTGGAAGTGGCAGAGAGGGGAAGGTACTCCCTAGTCCCAGAGCAAGCACATACATGAAACCAAAATACAGACAAGAAGGAACTACATTAAAAGGGAACACCCAAAGTTGCTCAGCAGAAATAACCCAGCAGAGAGCTGCAGGCAAGGGGCAAGGGACTGCAAAGAAATAACAAATAGCAGCAACCATGTTCAGAGATGGCCATGGTGGTCTAAAAGGCAACTCGGCTGCATGTTGTTTCGGTAAGAGCCAGTTAAAGAAATGAATGTGTGAAAGGATATCCACAGAGCACAGGCTAGTAAGAAGCCCATGGGATTGGCACAGCACTCACCCTCCAGGCCAGAGCTGCACCTGCCCCACACCTTGTCCCAGCACAGAGAAGCAGAGCTGCACTGCAGAGGAGGTGGCCAGCAACACCTCCACAAGGCCACCACACTCACCATCCATCCATGGTGCTGCCTCGCCTTGTCATGAGCCCCCTGATACAGCACAATGAGGAGGGCTTCACCTCCCTGATCTTCTGTTCAAAACCCACAAACTCTGCCATGAATCACAGCAGACACCACAGACTGGGGAAACCTGGCTGGCACTGTCAAATCTACAGAAACCAGGAGAGATGGAGACCCCATCACGAAGAGTGGGGCAGGGAGACCTGATGGCTACGACATATGTGTACTTGGAACTAGACATTAATGGAAAGATGGGAGACCCAAAGGGGGCTAGAGATAGGCTGACAGTAGCCAACCAAAAACAAGTGTGCCCAGTGATGTGGATGGTGAGGGTAAGATAAACCACGTAGGGGCCTATGGGAACACTGTGGCACTTCTGCATTTTCCTACAAATCAAAAGTGATTCCAGAGCAGTAGGGTGGCAAGAAAGGAGGAGACAAATGAAGTCAGGAAAGGAGAACAATAGAGAGAAGAAAAGCCATCCAGCCACATGGAGCAATGATACTAATGAGGCAAAAAGACTCCAGCTGAAATTAGCTACCTGCCACTCAAAGGAGGGAATATGACAAAAAGGTTAAACGGTTAACTCACCAAGACAATTTGATAAGCCTAAATTAAAAAATTAAAAGCAGAGCTTAAAAATTCATGAAAGAAAAAAAAGGACAAGTAGAAGGAGAGAC